AGCCTCGTAGGTTCTCGGCTCTTTTGAGCTGATGCCGGAATTCTTTCCTGCGTTCCGTGAAGAGCGGAGCAAGAAGCCAATCCTCTTCGAGAATGCCAACATCTACGATGGTTTAGACGTGTTGAGCGGGCCAAAAGATGTGTTGGTGGTGGGCAACTTGATCCAAGATATTGGTCAAGGCACAAGTCCAGAGAATTGGGATGCTGAGACGATAGACTGTGGCTACACCTTGATGCCTGGGTTGATTAGTCATTTGTGCATCCAGGAGGGTACCGAGACAGCTACGCATGCCAGAGGATATTCCCAAAAAGAGTCCTTGCTGTTGACAGCAATTTCTGCTTGGTCGGGTAAAAGCACCTTTGGTGGCCAAAATTGTTTGTGATTTTCCTGTTGGAATGGTGAAAGCGATCATGAAGCCAGTTTGCCTCGCGTCCCGCGATTGGCAGGCCACCACCGAGTGGAAAACCCCTAGCTTCGTGATCGAGCAGCTCTTTAGCACAGAGGAGCGACGTATGAACGACTTGCATGGGAGCAGTGCCCCCCCCCCCTTGCCCATTTTCATAAAGGGTTCTACAAGGGCCTATATTCATAATATGATAATATCTACATTCACCACCACCAGCTGCTTTTGCGTGATGCCCAGTTGGCATCAACTACGAGTGGAGAAGGAACCCGTTGTGCTGGCTTTGAGGTGTAGTGTAAAACAACGGCGCCAACCCAGTCTCAGTTCAAAGGGTCTAGTTAGATGCCCTTTGTCTTTCTGACTGGCGAGAGCGGATAGAGCGAGGGCAGCTCCACCTTCACTTACCTCGTTGGCTGCACCAAGAGCCATGCCGCCGTTCTCATCGATCCGGCGTCCCGGCAGAAAGCAGCTGGCAGCTAGCATTTGGGCGCGAGTTCTCTCAATGCACAGGTTTCTCGAGTCTCGCATTGGTGCTTCACTTGCAATCAGAATATACACATGCGCACATATCTATCTATCTATCTATCTATGTATGTATCTATCTATCTATCTATCTGTCTGTCTATCTATCTGTCTATCTATCTATCTATCTGTCTATCGTATCTATCTATCTATCTATCTAGCTAGCTATCTATCTATCTATCTATCTATCTATCTATCTATCTATCTATCTATCTATCTATCTATCTATCTATCTATCTATCTATCTATCTATCTATCTATCTATCTATCTATCTATCTATCTATCTATCTATCTATCTTATCTATCTTATCTATCTATCTATTATCTATCTTATCTATCTTATCTATCTTATCTATCTTATCTATCTTATCTATCTTATCTATCTTATCTATCTTATCTATCTTATCTATCTTATCTATCTTATCTATCTTATCTATCTTATCTATCTTATCTATCTTATCTATCTATCTATCTATCTATCTATCTTATCTTATCTTATCTTTATCTTATCTTATCTTATCTTATCTTATCTTATCTATCTTATCTATCTTATCTATCTTATCTATCTTATCTATCTTATCTATCTTATCTATCTTATCTATCTTATCTATCTTATCTATCTTATCTATCTTATCTATCTTATCTATCTTATCTATCTTATCTATCTTATCTAATCTATCTATTCTATCTATCTATCTATCTATCTATCGATCTATCTATCTATCTTTCTATCTATCTATCTATCTATCTATCTATCTATCTATCTATCTATCCATATTAATTTGTGTAATTCCAAAATCAGTTATATGTGTAGAATACAATACTCTTTTTTGCGGTGCCGAGGTGCTGGGCATGGAGGGCCGCGACCTGGCTCTGGCAGAGGAGCTGGGATTCAAGGCCAGTCTCTGAGAGTTTGCGAGCGTTGGCAGTGTGCTGTGGCTCCCGGAACATCGGGAGGTCAAATATGTGGTCAACACGCACTGCCATGCAGACCACATCACTTCCGGCAGCGTGATCAAGAAGTCGCATCCAGAGGTGCCCTTCTGCCATCGCAAGTGCTCAGGTGAAAGCGTTGGGAAGCCAGTGACACTCGTCTCGAAATTGCCTGAATCAGCGATTTCAGGTGAAGACCATCATCTCCGAGGCCTCAAAGGCAGTTTCTGACGTCCACTTGAAGGACGGCGACAAGGTGGAGTTTGGTGAGTATGCCGCTGGCCAGAAAGTGACAGGTGGTACATTGGTTTTACAGGAGAACACCTAAAACAACACATATTTTGGGGTGCACCATTTTGATGCAACCGCACTTTCGAAAGGACTGCACCTCTTTTCAAGATGCTTTCAGTTCGCATCAAATGTGTTGCTAGGCGTGTGAAGCGGGCTGAGGCCTTGCGGGCGCTTGCCACTCCAGGGCACACGGATGGCTGCAGCTCAGCTTTGGACAGGTCAACGCCAAATGAGCCACAATTAAAACTATTCAGGTTAGCAAGGGACAGTCGCAGCCAGAAACAGCTGCGGCAGCCTGTGTATGTCCTTACATGGTTCTGGGCCAACCATTTTATTCCCGGGTTCTGATTGTGACTCAAATGACTGCTTAGATGCCGGCAGCTTAACTATTGTTTGGTACTCCTGGCCCTGCTTAAACATGTCCTTCGGCGGTCCCCCTCATGTTGCCATTGCTCCATGGGAGTGTGGGACAGTGGTTAACCCACTGGAGGAAAATGTAACCTCTGGAAGGATCGAACGGTTTCTGCCTCAACCCGAGGCCTCACATTCGTCCTGGAAGGGCCCGATGCGCCCAAGGCGGCCTTCACAGGCGACACGCTGCTGATTCGGGGCTGCGGCCGCACCGACTTTCAGCAGGCGCCGGCTCCGAAGGATGCGCTGTCCTGATGCTCCACACGAACCCCAAACGCCCCGATGTCCCATGTTTGGGGTCCATTTCTTGGGTTCCCCAGCAACCCGCAAAGAATGTGGGCTCAGCATGAGGGGCACTGGGATGGGACAAGACGGACAAAAACAAACGGGCTTAGGCGCATGAATGTATTTGCCAGGGAAATGCGTCAACCCTCTACGAGAGCGTGCACCAAAAGATCTTCACCCTGCCCGAGGATACCAAGATCTACCCCGGCCGCTTGGCTGACCTTGATGTTACTGGCTTGTGCTATTTAGCAAGTGCTTGTTTCGAACTGATGGGAGTTGCCCTGCTAAAGTTTATTCGAAGACGATGCCAGACTTGACTGCCCAGTTGCATTCGAGGACACGATTACAATGGCAGAGCCTGGGCAACACGTGTGTGCTTGGAGTCGCTGTACTCCCCATAACTGATGAGATCTAGCTGCGAGCCCAGGAAACGTGTCAACTGTGGCGGAGGAGAAGAAGTTCAACCCCAGGTTGACTCAGAGCAAGGCCCAGACCTTGGCTTGCGGCAATCTCGAAATCTCGTCGCCTGTGCTGTAAGGATGGATTTCTGAAGACCATGGAAGAGCTCAAGCTGCCGTACCCCAGGCTTATGGACGTTCTCCGCCTCAGATGTTTCTGTCTCAACGTTTGTTTCTTATTTCGATGCTGACGCATTATTGCCGTGCAGTAGCGGCAAGAGGGCGGGAAGAAGAGCTTTTGGGATGGGCCAAGCTTCATTCCGTCAGATATGGAATGACATAGATGCATCATTGTTGGCCATCAGCCTTTTCTTTGCACAGGGGCCAACATCAACTCCTGTCATAGTGCCGACATACCAGCCAATTTCTGGGCATGGAGCCGTTTTGGAGGTGGTGTGCAACTTGCACCTTCCGTCAACGGAATACTATTTCCTTGACTAAGCCATACTGATGCTGGTGGCGTCGAACATGAAAGCTTGTCCCAGGGTCCCAGAAGATGCCCAGAATAGTTCACCTAAACACTAGAAAAATCCGATCCCAAGAGGGCGTCATATAATAAAGCTAAATCGGCAACATCCCCTCTGCTGCATGCGTAGTACGTGCAGCGCCATGGGGATAGTGTTGACTACTCTCTTCTATGGGTGAAGAAGCAACGATGTGTGCTGGTCGCTGAGGTGGCAGTCCCCGCCAACATGAAGTGTGGAGTTCAGGACTGATTGGATCCGCTGCGCGATCGGTCGCTTGCGCAAGGTGCTCAGAATTGCTTCAAAATGTTATCTGTTTGACAACCCGGGCCTTTGTTTTGGGGCATGCACGGGGACTCAAGGGCGAGAAGCTCAGGTACTTGCTGCGCTCGCGGCAATGAGCTTTTGCTGCCAGAGGTGCCGGATCTGAGCCCAGGATGTCAAGCGTCTTGATCGACCACCGCATTGCATGAACAGAAATCAGCGTTGCAGATAGTCCCTTTCCCTTTCACGACATGTTTAAATTGTTTACAGTTGTCCCTTTTGTCTTCGGGTTCCGGCAGAACTTGCAAAAGGCATAACCAGCCTAACCTCTCGGCTGTGCTGGTTGCGCATGGGACACACCTAGGACGGGGTCAATTGCAAATGCAGCTGGTCAAAGACATAAAGGTACACGCCGTACAGATGCAAAGATGTGTTGAATTCGTTTGTCCAATGCACTGTGTCACGCACTTTATCAAGTTTGTTGTGTGTTGCACCCGGGGGCTCTGGCACACAGTATGGAGCTTTAGTGGTAAGGAACCTGCGTTGCCTTGCATGCTGCTTGCGTCACGCACGTTGAATGCAGTCGTTCGCAGCTTGGCCAAACGGGCCCAGCTGTTGTGGCGAGCTTGGTTTCAGCGGACTTGAGACTTTGTGCTCACAGCCGTTGCCAGCAGGACAGTGCCAGAAAAATGCGAGCGCCTTCTGAATTCTGGCGACCTTTCGGGTCGACTGGTAAGTCATGGAAAGTCACAAAGCGAAGCTTTCATTCAGATAGCTGATTCCTGGCCCATCCTAACTTGGCCCAGGCAGCTTTACCGAACGCTCGTTTTTGTTCCTCTGCATTGAGAGCGTAGCTGGCCAGAGTTTCCAGCAGGCGCTGAGTCAGCGTAAGCTAAATGAGAAATGCCAAAGGTGACGCAGGCGTTTCTGCGGGAAAGGATCAAGTTGACTGACGGCTTGTTTCCGAGGTCTCGGAGGTGCTGGTGCACGACGAGTGCCCTGGGCTTTGTCGCTGTCGCGTGTCCTGCAGATTAGACTTGGGTTCCTTTGCTTGGAGTCTCCGACGCTGCATCGATCCCAAGCCGAATTCGGGCGCGCCAGGGCTTGCAGCGTCTTGGCTTGGAGCCCCAACGACAGCCTCCTCTCTGCCTCTGACTGCTGGGGCCTGGAAGGTCTTGCGCGGTATGGGGGGGGTTTCCCAAATCGGTGCTTGACAAAGGTACAGTTCGAATCTGGACGCTGCCAGGCACCAGAGACGTGCCGATTTCTCCCTGAAAGTGCTGCCAGTTTGCACAGCTCTCACGCCCGAAATTTGGCGAGGCGCTGAAACTGCCTTGGTCTTGTCCAAGCACACGGAGCCAGTTTCGGCCGCCCGGGGCACAGGCCCAGTGGGTGCCGATTTCTTTCTTGGGACTCCCTCAAAATTCCCGTCAGTCAGTGAGTTTGTCTTCATTACCCTAGTCCCTTGGATGCTTATTTCGGCACACGAAGCTTTTCTGTCAATTTCAGTGGCTTGCTGGGAGTGATGTTTTGCAGTTGGACGCGGCTGGGTCTAAGGCGGCCTGGCTGCCGGATAGCACTCGCTTCGTGACCGCTGGCTTGGACAGGTCTGTCAACTGATTGGATTTGAGCCTTTGAGGTAATCGGTGGAGGTTGATTACGCAAGGTGTATCCTGCTGTGGGAGATTGATGGCACACTGCTGCACCGCTGGGAGCTCAACTGCCGCATCCAGGATCTGGCCGGAGACCAAGCGAACCCGTCAGCCGACACCAGGGGTTGTTGATCTGGGGTTCCCATGATTCTTGCAATCTGTCCAGGCACGGAGTTCAGCGTTTGCGCTTTAGTCGGGGACGTCTTAGATTGACAAGGATGACATAGTGACATAATTGTGTGCATTTGAGGAATCTCCATGACCCGAAATTTGAACGTGATACTGTAGATGGACAAAATCCTGCACAAATTCGTTGGGATGGATGAAGCCCTACAAGTGCTGGCACAAACCACTTTCTCCCCCAAAACCCCTCAAGGATGGAAGACTAAGTGGCTTCGACAAGAAGCGTGGTGACCTTTTGCCGCCCATGCACCTGAAATGTCTCTCCGAATGTCAACCACCAGCCGGATGGTGGGAAGGGCTTCGCTGGCTTCAGCGACTGGGGGTTGTTGGGAAGCTGTTTACATGTTTGCTTTTTGTGGTTCGTGGTTGAAATCCAGCCACTGAACTGCTAAAACTTAGATTGTTGCTCCCTTTTAAGGTCAAGTGGGTCCATACGTTCAGCCTTCTGGTTGAAAAAACCTCTTGGAGAAGTCCTTCATCCTGGCTTCTGCAATGATCGTGGTGAAGCCCTCGCAGCATCTGTGGGAAATTAACTCTCTGGACTTGCCCACTTTACGGGGCGGGCGCCACCCCGAAAAAACTTCCGGCGGTTTAACCTTTGATTTCACAAGTATTGGGTGTCATACAGACAGGCGGCCACCAAAGACGGGTCCCGGCTCCTGGTGGTGGACTCCGACAAGAGCCTCAAGGCCAGGCAATACGCCACTTGCTGTCGAGGTCCTGTTCTCCCCTGTCGGGTCCGGCACCATTTGAATCGTATCGGTCATCAAACAGCCAGCCAGGTCTTTGACGTGCATTCACACAGCGCGTTGCCCTGCTTGCCGGAGAGCGATGCTGTGACGTCGGCGCAGAGCTCAGGCATTGCGCGAGTCAGCCACCCACATTGGGAGTCCCTTTGGGTGTCGTGGGCTTTCAAACCCAATCAGTCCAATTAGAGAAAGAACACAATCTCCATTCACTTAGCGGTCATGCCTGCTGGATTTCCAAAGCTCCATTGACCCGAGATCTGCGTCTCTCGGCTCCGGGATGAGCTTTTGGTGAATGTGGCGCAGCACGTGCCGCGACTGAGTATTCGGCCTGCATGCGCATGGATCAAATTCTGGATATTGCTGGCAATGGCTCAAGTCTGAACCTTGCCATGGCGACGGCCTCTCTTTGTCTTCTGATCCTGGTAGATGGTAGAGTGTTGGAGGCAGATCAAAGCGCCTTCCCCGTGCCAAATGCTGCTTCAGGCTCATAGCTTCTATCAGAACATCTCCGTGTCGTAGCTGTGGTCACGTCAGGGAGAGTTGGATCCCAGTTCAGTGCCGGCTTCGGTTTGGTCAGCTGACGGGAGGGGAATAGCCTTGCGCCTTTAGTCATCCGGGATCCGACCACCACGCCTGGGAACTTCATACGGCTCGACATGGGATGTGCGCAATGAGCACGCTGCTGTTTGGTCACCTCAAGATGATGGCTTCTGTTCGGTGTGTTTGGTGGGAAGGTATGGGATGACGGCTCGGGAAGCTGCTCTTGGTGCGGTTGCAATGGCAAAGACCTCGACTTTGGTCTGCGCCTAGCACCACGAGACTTCGACCAAGATGACGGGGAGCAGCACCGTGATGACAACTGTGACCAAGAGCATTACGCAGAGAAGCGTGTGCGATTGCGCAAACCGGGACGACAAGCGACCTTTCAGAGATTGGTGCTGCACGCAGTGAGAATCAGCCATATGACATAGCTACATGTGTATCTGGCAGCTATCCTGTTTTTGTGCATATAATGTGCGCGGGCTTTTATTCATAGACTCCGAAGGCAACCATACATGTACAACATACCGTGCAAGTAGTCAAGAAGCTTCCCCGTTTCACCTGTTCTTTTACCACTTTCAGTCGGGGATCGTGCGGAAGAAAACAAACACCTCTCCTCATGGCGCGATGCAGCGCGTTCCACGTCCTTCACTGGCGCGGGGCTTGGGCTTCGCCCATGTCGGCTGAGGTCTCCGCCCTGCACGAGGGCCCGGCCATCCGACTCTGGGACCTCGGCTCGCGGCGCGTGCTGCAGCGATACCTCGGCCACTTCCAGGCGGACCACGTTTCAGGTTTCAGAGTTGGACCCAGAGTTGGACCCAGAAAAGACGGACCTAGCCCAGTGGCTCATTTACACAGCAGTTTCGATGTCGTATTCGAATATATTTTCTTTCTGGGTCGTTTGGGTCCCGGATCATCTTCGCAGCAGTTGCTCGCTGCTTTGGGCTCAAGTTCCATTGGGAGCAGGGGCGCCTCGCCCGCATGGGAAGCAAATGAAGTTGAGCCCACGGAATGAGCCAAGAACCTCCGAAGACATCCCGAGTCACCCAAGTTCCGAGCTGTCGGGTTTCTACAGCGATGGATGCCAATGGCTTCACAGACTGGCGCCAGAAGAAGCTCACACAGGTTGGGCATGCATGACGTTTCCCCAGCATTTCAGCCCACCTGAAGGCGAGCTCAGGGTCATGAGTGGAGCGTGTGCGCTGACTGTCGCAGAACCAAGCTTCAACCCATCTCTTTTCCAGTTTTTTGGACAAAATGGACAAATGCAGAGGCTCAAAGAACAATAGTGCTGACTCGAGCCAGGTGGAGGTGTTGACGTTTGCTCCACCATGGCGGAACCTGCGACCCCTGCCGGTGATGTGCATGGTGCTGACTACGGCGCTCTACACGCTGCGCGTGGCCTCTTGGAGCGGAGATTGGATGGGCACAGGATGACATGACGCGCCAAAGAACGTGCCATGCCCGTTGGAAAGTTTGGGATGGTGCTCCAAAGCTGGACCACAGTGGCTTCATGAGGTCCCGGCACTGGCGGAGTTCGGACGCAGGAGATGGCAAGAGCAGGCGAGCATCCAGCTCAGCACTCGTTGGAAGAACTGGCCCGTGTTGTCATGGAAGAAGATGCCGGGTGGGCCGGTGGTGGCATGGTCGATCATTTCAACATTCGTCGCAGCTAATCATACAAACAATAATATATATTTTTCTGGTATTAGCAGTGTTTGGGTGTGGTTTGCGTGCAATAGATTTTGCGAGCTAGAGTCGCATGGAAGTCTGAGGAATTGGCTTGATTTGGAAGCTTATTGATCAAGCAGGCCCTGTTCTGGCAATGCAGATCACGTGGCCAGAGAAAGTGTCTATCTCTCTCAGTCTCTAGTATCTATCATGTTGGTTCTCATTGGTTCTCATTGGTTCTCATTGGTTCTCTTTGACCTGAACCACATTTTGGGTGTTCCACGACATCCGGCTTGCGATGTCGCGTAGGTGGATGCTGGCACCCTGACCCCGCGACCGGGAGGACCCTTCTCCGAGGCCGAATTGGCACGAGTCCTTGATAATTGAACGGCTGTAGACAGAGGGCAGCGCTGAGCCCGACCAATCGAGCACTTTGCACATGTCGTACATAGAGTATCGGATTCTCTACGTCATGCGAACACGCGGCGCTTGGCGCAGGTCAGCGAGTCCTTCGCGGTTTTGCTCAGCCTGGTCTACGTCTCCCTGACCTTCGTCGGCTTGGGGCGCATGTCGCCACTAGACAACAGTGGAACTGCATGTGGGCAGCCCGATTTCGAGCATTTGCCGCGGTTTGCCACTTTGGCACGGGTTTTGGACAGATTCACCTGGTCGAATGAGGGTGTACGTAAACCGCACTGACTCGTTAATCCCAGGCATCATCCAAAACAATGGGTTTGTCGTTGGTCTACCGGAAGCTGGGACATGGGACCACTTTTGGCTTGAATGATTACACCCAGCCTGGACAGTGTGTTGAGAGCTCTTGGCACAGAACGACTTGACATGTCTGCTTTTGGCAAGACACTAGTCCTCGTGCCCCCTGATCCATGCGGAGTCGGTCCCTCGGTGCGTGCAGCCCAGGCGACAAGTCCCCGTCCGAGACCCAGGTGTTTTGTGCAGCAGGCGAACAGGCGATAGAGATCGATCTTTCGCAGGTGCAGAAGTTTATCTTCGAGTGCGTGGCCGTGCACAACATGACGCAGTGTTTCTATCACTCCTACTGTTCCTTGGCCGATGTACATGCTTTTTCCTCTTTTCCTCCCACTGGCAAGGAGCGCATGGACAGTAAGGGCGCTTTGGCAGGCGCTTGCTCTCTTGGCACAGGTCTAGTGATGCTGATCTCGGAGGGCCAGAGTTTGGGCTTCCGCATCTGGGGCAACGAGCTGGATAGCTCGCCCAGGTCCCATCGCCTGGGTTGGCTCATGTGGCTGCAGTACCACTGTGCCCTGGCTCATGTGGCTGCATTTAAGTCAAATGTGTCAGGAAAGTGTTGAACCTTGGCTCTTGGTGGCTGGGTTTGCACCTGGAGGTGAAAGGTAGGGAGGTTTCCTTCTGGTTCCATGTGAAAAGATGAGGTCGGCAGCTGCAGCTGGTGGAGACGGCCTTTATGGTACTCACCAAGAAGTTCAAGGGCGTCTCCTTCCTGCACGTGTACTTGCGGGTGCCCGAGCGGCAGAGCTGCGGGATGCCCCCCCCCCTGTTGTGGCCATCCATGGAAGAGTTCAGGAAGGCACAGCCAGCATCAGGATATCCGATCAAGCTTCCATTTGGATTGAAGAAGCTCAGCACATATGACAAACCAGAGGTCATCCAGGCATTTGCTGACATCCTGGGATTGCTGATGCAACCAACTGACCGTCCTTCTGTGGACCATCTCAAGGCACATGAGTTCACCTCATCCATGACGATCAACATGCTCACCATGAACCACGGAAACCTTACGAGGAATCCAAAGCTGGACAACAAGGAGGGAATAACATGGCGATGAATGATCGACCAATCACGAGGATGATGATGCAGAACAGCGCCGCGCACATCATATGCCTAAATGAAGCAAACGCTTTCCTCAGTCCTCAAGATGAGAAATCCAAGGACCGCGTCAAGACGTTCATCCGGTTTGGATACAAGGGCATAGTTATCAAGCAATGGTCATCCAAACCAATCGCATGCTTTGTCCGCGGCGGACCTTCCGCAAGAGTGGAACTATTGGCACGACACATTTCCACAAAGAGTCAAAACTGGGGAACTACATTCGGTATGTTCAGATGCTTCTTCGGACCCGTATTCGGCATCAGTGCAATGGTTCTCGGTTCCGAAGAAGCATCTGAACATACCGAATGTAGTTTCCCAGTTTTGACTCTTTGTGGAAATGTGGAAAGAAGTTTTTCTGAAGCCCGAGAGAACACCCGAAATCGGCACTACGAATTTTAACCGAATTGATCCTCACCGCCAACAAGACTATTCAGTGAGAGATCAATAGTTTCACATCCGTCCCGCATGTACATAACGTTGTACATCATCTTTTAGATACATCTAGGTATCTCACAGAATCAGTACAGACTGTTTTCCATTTTGCATCAAGACATTTCATCCGCGCAGAAAACAGGATGAATCCAGTATTTCAATTGACAAGGTATATCCGTTATCTGTCACAAGTAATATACACATGGCCACGGCATAAACCCTGTGGTAGTAGAGGTCGTTTAGGTGGTCCCTGGATCTATTCCGGAGAGAGTCCAATATGCCGATATGGATTGGAGGATGGATTGTCCCTGGTGGATTGTATTGTTGTACAATCCTGTAAGCGGCCTGCAAAGGTTCCCCTGTCACGCAATCATGAGTATTGCTATGGTGCAGAAGGGCCTTGAGCCAAATGGTTGCGGGCGATCAACATTGGTCAAAAACAGACACAAAAACAGACACAAATTTCTTTTGATCGCCGGCACTAGATATGAGATATCTTTGGCTTCTTGGCCCTTGGCCGTAGCCTCCCCCTCATGTTGGTTTCGATATTGCAAGGTTCGCCATTCAGGGACCAATTGAGCGACATCAGGAGCTCTGCACCAAAGAACAAACCAGTGCCACTTTGCTGAGCCGAGGTGCTGAACTTGCACCTCGTCTTGTGAGACCTGTGGGGCTTGGATATTGGAAAGACCCGACCTGCCTGTGGGCCTATGCGGAGAACTCTCGTTTTTCTTTCGGACTCTATGGCAGTTAGGTGGGGCTGGTTCATGGCGTGCCGCTGCGTCTGCAGCGCGGAAGCCTATGTGCCGGCTTTGGTGAGCTCCGCCTGCCAGACGGCGCGGGTCGTGGGTTTTGACTCAGGTTCTGTCCGGTTGATGCTCTATGCATAGACTCGACATTCGAGAGAGACGGCAACGGAATCCGGGCTGGTGAACTCTTGAAGTCTTGGCGTCTTGGGAGAAACACGTGGCGCAGGCGGTCTATGGTCTCTACTCCAGCTTCAGTGCCTTGGTCGCCCCAGCAACCGTACTCAAGGTTTGCCGCACATGCGCGTTGACAAAAGTACTTATACGTTCGGCAATTGTTTGCTGGTCTCCAAGTTTTGTACCTAATTTTGTTGACCCTGCAGAACTGTGCAACAGACACGTGAACAGACATGGCTGAAAGCAGCAAATGGATCGAGTGCTCCACGCAGCAAAAGCGAGGCCTCATTCCCGTCTCGTCCTTTACATCAAAGGCGGGAGAGCAACCGCTGCTTTGCGCTTCCAGTTTCCGTTCTTTGTTTTTTTTGCTTGTTGCTCATTTGTTTCCATTTGTTTTCATTTGTTTCCACTTGTTTCATATCTCATTTATCTCTCCTTTTTTGGCATCTCGGCTTTTGGCAGGTCTCCCGGGCCAGCTGGGTCTTCCGAGTGCAGCGGGTGCAGCCACTCGCCAGTCCGGCTGTTACAAAGAAGCCACACCTTGGAAAGAGAAAGGAACCTGCCAATGATTTTGGCGAAAGGCATACCCTCCCACCAACTAACATGGAAGTGCAAAAACTTGCCTTTCCCTTTCTACAGGGGTCTGTGCACTTCCATGTTGGCTGGCGGGAGGGTACCGCAACACCACGAAGGTACTTGGCTTGCGCCATGCACTCGCTGGCCGCAGCCACCTGGGGGAACTTCCCCTGGAGCCTGGCGCTGCTGCACCTCTTCGTGATTGGCAACGGCCTGATCCTCTACACGGATTGGGGCCCGACTCCGACTGCAATGCCGGGATTGGGAATCGGATTGGCACACAGCTGGGATTGTGGTGTTCCTGTGTTTCAGGGTGTGAAGGTGTGGGACTTGGAAGTCAGTCAGTTCATCAGCTCCCGGTTCAGTGACCTGTGAGACGGGGTCAATGAGGGGTTGGGGCGGAAATGACCGTCGCGAGGACCCTCGCACGGACCCTTAAACGTCTTGAAGCTTCAGTTTGGCACATTGAGACACGGGTCGGCAAGTGGCTTCTGTTTGGTGCAAAGCGCAAATTGGCGTGCCCGCCTTCATTTACTTGACCTGCAGATCATTCAATTCCACGTCGCTTGATAGAAGCAAAGCTTTGTTACTCCCAGCTGCACGAGACTGTGCCCACATTAACGTATCCGCTTTGTTTTGCATTGCTACCCCTTCCTCAAGACACTCCCCTCTTTCCGCCGAGGGCAGTGGCAGGAATCCACCCGCTAGAGCCGAGCGCAGGAGTGGCTCTCCGAGCCGGAGGGCTCCTCCCTCGCGGCGGACGATCGGGAGCCCAAAGTGAAGCGCCTCGTGGAGAGTCTGCGCAGTTTGGTGCAGTGTGGTGCAGTGAGATGTTACATCTTTTCCCCGTTTCCTTTTGTTCTCATGTCTTTGGCTTGAACAAATAGGAGCGGAAGACTGATTTGCTTGACTGGGTTGTTCGAATTAGGGAATGTGGCGACGAGTTCTTCCAAGCATTGCGTGCAAGAATCCACTGGCGGTTGGCAATGGGTGGTTCCTCACGTATCCTGACAATCAAGCAAGCCCGAGTGCGCGCAAAAGGCGAGTGGTGTTCTCCTTCGACTCCTGTGGCTGGCTCTTTGTGACTTGGACGACTTAGCTCGTCTTTCCGAACTCAAGAGCTTCTGAACTGCCTTTCTTGCGACTCTTGCAACGGCCATCTGCTTCTTGCTTTCGAATCTGCGGCCCCTCCACCCCACCCCCTCCCCGGCCCCCTGACTGACGCCAGGCACAAGGGACCTCCCCTAGCTCCAGGCACTCGCACGCGCGCGCCACGCGAGCGAGGTCTACCACTTCGGCGTGGGCGCCTGGCTCTCGGAGCACCTGCGCCTGGAGCGGGCCGAGTCCCCGGAGGTGCCCCAGGAGGCGACGGGACAAGACGGGAGCGCCGGCCGGGAACGCGGCCGCGGAGCGCGGAAAAGAACAAAACGGATCGAAGGCTGGAAAAGGAACCAGAATGTACCGAGAATGGTCCGAGAATCAAAGACCAAATGACAGCAAAAAGGGGACAAACACAGAGACTGAAAGAGACGGATCTTTTTTGAAATTGCATGTTTTATCTCGCTTCTTTATCCGCAGGTGGCTTTCAGCGGCTCCAGCGGCGGCTCGCTGATCGCGCTCCCCGGCCAGTGGATCTCCGGCCCTGCTTGGATTTTTGGATGTAAGCAGATGCATTAAAGCGGAACACATGAATATGCCAGTCCTCATGAGCACATTGAATTCAGCAGGAGGTAAGATTGGATCTTCACATATCCAAAACTCATGATATGACGATTGAGTGACATGGCTTTCTTTTGATTTTGGTACTGCTTGGAGTGTATTAGGAGGGCTGCCCCTGTGAATCCTTATACCACGGATTCGGATGCGTTACCTGGTGCGCCCCCCCCGAATCCGTGGCTGCCGCGGGGTGTATCTAGGGCCGGCCTCGATTTTGGTTTTTGCCCATCCATCTGCGGTAGTCGTTTTTTCATTCCGACTCAAAAATGACCCCCCCAGGGCCCAAAAAGATTAATATGGCTTTATTAAGTAGCTTTCTCGCGGGGAACTTGGAGGTTCGGGCATGATTTGCACCTGTCTTTTCAGGCCCAGAAGCGGCATTTCCTAGATTTAATGCCTGTTCTTTCATTCCCCTGCATTTACTGCTTGGACGCAGATAGACTTTAGCGTTCAGCTGTGCAGGACGCACATTAAGCCACCGTTACCCACATCTTACATTGACTACTTTAGTTTTATCAACTTCAAGTCCAGGACATATGATATCAGGAGTAGGGATACCTGGCACCATGCATCCGCAACGAGTGCGACATTTTGAAAAAGGCAGTGGTCAGACGTTTCAAGCAGCTTCGTCTTACAAGGCCCTTTTCCGTGTCAAAGCCTGACAAACACGTTCCGTACACAGGCGCCAAATGGCACGCCCCAAAAAAAAGAATATGGCTTGCCGCGCGGCTGGCGCGTCAACTGGATGGGCAACTTCAGCAGGTGCCTGGAAGAACACGCATGATCTGGAAATGTGTGACCTTGCCCTCTCTGCGATCGTCTCACTCCACCGGACACCATTGGAACGCACAGGTGAACCTTGGAGCAAAATAGCTGGTTGCGGCTTGGCATGCTGAAAGCACCCGGCGTCTGCATTCTTTCATTGAACTTGCCACCTCGCTAGTAGAAGGAAGTGCGCCGTCTTTGTCCACGACAATCTCGTGGTCCGACCAAAATGGCTTTGCGCCCTCACCGCCGTTTGTAAACGTGGTGGCCATGAAGCTAAACTGTGTGGAAGGGCAAATCAGCGCGACAGGCCCTTGTTCACACAATTGGCGCGACGTCAAAGGCGGTTTGTCTTTATGGATGCAACTCAACACGTGACGACCGGTTGTTACTGCGTGCTGCTGCATGCATGTGATGCCTGTCCTCTCTGCTTTGCCGCATGTGTGTGTGGTGTGTGTGTGTGGGTGCGTGCGTGTGCGTGTGCGTGTGCGTGTGCGTGTGCGTGTGCGTGTGCGTGTGGGTGTGGGTGTGGGTGTGGGTGTGGGTGTGGGTGTGTGTGTGTGCGGAGTGTCAAATTCACCCTGACACCACCTTTCTCGTCGTGACTATGTTTTTCAGCAGGGGAGTGCGGCGTGACTGAGGGACCGCGCTCAACGAAGCTACCTCAGTCATGGGATACCGGATCTGATCAATCCGGCGTACCTGCGACATTTGGCGTTGGTGTCTCACTGTGTGTGCTTCATGTTGAATGTGTAACGTTTTCGCTGCTAGGCGGAAGCCAAGTGACTGTGAGCCGAACCTACACCCACTCAAGACTCATCAGTTGTACTCGAGACTCATCAGTTGTACTCGAACGATTAGCATCCTCCCTTGCGAGTTGAAGTGTGATCACCCCATCTTGGGGGAACCTCGGGTGTGCCCATCGTGTGACCCCGGGCCGGTTCGCCGGAAAATTTGACCTCAACGTTCATATCATTGTCCAGCGGAATTTCACGTTTAAGCAGGAACGAGGTTTCACTAAAGGGAAGACAGCCGTCAGTTCATAGCTAAGTTTCACCAACTCTGATACTGTGTGCTGACCGTGTGAAGTCTGGCCTTGTATTGATTTGTGGCATGGTCTTGCGTTGACTTGCATCTTGTTGGACTCAGTTTTCTCAACTTTTAATTGGTACACCTACTCGTCGCCACTCTCGGGTCAAGCTCACCCCGGGACCACATGGCAAATCGGATGAAGATGATGACTGGGGCGAGTGGACGCACCAAGGCCATCGCCGTCATGAGTCATGCGGACCGGCGGCGTCCACTCGCCACCGTCACCATCTCTGGGCAGCCATGTTTTCTTGCTTCGCTCCGGCCTTGAAGTTGAAGAAATCGCCATCCGGATCAACGACGTACTGTGCTACGCCCTCGGTCTTTCCGGATCCAGCCAAATGGAAGCAATCTTGGGAGTCAGTGCGCAGGAGTCTCATAACGCGCTGTGAGAACATTATCCGCGATGAGCGCCGCGTGCGATCTATCTCTGAACTTGCAGCTGATCGACTTCCCCATGGCATTCCGGGAACATGGACCGAGGCGGTTCTCTTCCACTGCTTTGCCTGAGCAACTCAGCGTTCAGTTGGGAGTGCTTGAGAAGTGCTGGCCTTACATCCGGAAGACCGCAAAGGTCTACCGCTGTTTCAAGCCGAACAAGAAGGACTCTCAAGGCAATCGCTACGGGATCATCTTCTCCTTGCGTCGTCATCGTTCTCGGAGCAGAAGTCGCCGTAGGAGGCTTCCATCCACAGAACACCGAAGTGCTCTTCCCAAAGCTCCTCCAGCAGTGAAAGCCATGCCAGCATGCCGTCCGTCCGGACTGCCTCGAGGCCGCTGATGAGTGGTGCCAGTCAAAAGACATTCAGCTCTCTGGCGCAGCGGGTCTGTACCTCATTCTTCCCAGTTTGTGTTGTCACGCAGCCATTCTTTGCTTGAGTTGTCTTTTCGTTGCTTACGGTTACCATGTGGTCGTCCGCGGAGTTCGTGAATAACCTGATTGCTGTAGTCAATGCTCTTGTTTCTCAAATTTCAACATCTCTGGACACCTTGAACTTTGCCTTTGCAGTGAATCGGAATGCGGAGTCCGATGCTAGGATGACACCTCGGCAACCACGCAATATGCGGCCACGCATCATCACGGAACACATCACATCCGACCGGTCCAGAACGCCGCCACGTACCAGGACTCGGCTTGTAGACACATCCTCAACGTGGAATGTGCCCGTGCTATCTCCTCCTCGTCATGAACGTCAAGATGATCCGGGTACAGGTGTAGAACACGATTCACGACCAGGAGGTACGCCCAGAATTGACCTCGCTGCACACCTTCCTCCGCCCAGCATGACTGCGCCAGGCACGGTCAACGTCAACCGCGGGCCCGTGACTACGCAAACTTTTACCCCGGATTTTGATTCGGACCATTCGATCCGTTTTCACCCCGGTGTTGCGTCATTTCGCCCGTCTCCCACCGTGGTGCATGGTGCTCGTGAACTTTTGCAAGAGTTCACCACAGCACTTCGCAATGCGTACCATGAACTTTTTACGGCATGGACGCAAGGGGAGTTGGATGAGATGGTCCGGCGGAAAAAGGGATGCGAGGCCCACCTACAAGTCTATTGCCCGTTCCCTCCAGAAGAGTACGGATGAAGTCAAGCAGACCTGGAAGGTATACCAACGACTCGAGGCGCGCAATTAGACTCCCCTGAGTTCATGCGGACTCTGCCGTGAAAAGCTTGTTGAGTGTTGCGTGTTGTGTCTGTTCTTTCCACCTTGCATTGTTTTGCATGCTGACATGATGGATCAAGACATGACGGAGCAAAATGTTCAGACGTTCATCGCCTGGACTCATGGAGTGCATCCCACGTGGCTACAATGCCATGGCCCTGTGCATGACGCTCGTGAATTTCGAGCCCAGTGTGAAGTACCAGTACGCATACCGGCGCCGCCACCACCACTTCCACATTTTGTATTACTCCCACCTCCTCCTCCGCCTCCTCCACCGCCAGAGATATTTCTTTTTCAGTTGGTACCTACAATACGAATTTCACCGACATCGTTTCCACGTGCCGACTCCTGTCTGGTTGCTTTTCCAACCGCACAAGACAATCAGTGCGGCCCATGAGCAACATCATTCGCGGAGTCCATCCTCTACGCGTGGATCCAAATACACCCGCAAGAGGGCTGTGAGGAGCGCTACCGCGTCAGTGGCAGGGCGCTATTTTCACAGGCCCTTCACCGTGTTCACTCCCAAACGATCGACCCGTGCCACAAGGTCCAGAAGTATGAGATGCAAACATTATTGCCATGTTTTCCTGCACAGTGGCCGGAAGTGTTTTTTCCGTGTGCGCGACGCCAGCCGGGGCACTTTCATTGTCGATGTGCGTGCAATCAACGGCAGTAGCTTGAAGACAGTGAATCTCCTGAGTGAAAATATTTCCGCATTGCACGTTGACTGTGCTTCGGTTGCTTTGTCTTGTCTTGAGTTGTTTGCATGCCCTTGCTCTCGCAGACTTCTCGGTTTCATGAGCCTTGCGTTGTCTCACCGCCATTGATTCGGTTATCATGTTCAATTCGACGACCACCGAGAGGTGGCCCATCCCGCGCTACTTCGCTGGAAACACCCGTGTCGAGTGATTCGGGTTTACATGCCAGGTCCCTTGGCAACCTGTCGCTGACTCCACCTTGGGACCGGCTCCGGGGGACCCGTCCACCTATCGGGAATGGCGCAGGTTCTACCACTTTGAAGTGTATTGGCCTCGTGACAGCACGGGAGGCATCAGTCTGGATTCCTTCACCCAGCCGGTCTCCTATGCGTTTTTTAGACACGGCAATAGCCTCCCTGTGATCCTGAGTTTGATTGGGGCGAGTGACATCGACACCTGAGTTGCTTCTGGCTACAAACCGCTGCGTTCGGCGCTGCGTGTGCTGTTAGTGCTGGGTTGAGTGTCTTGCGTTTGACTAGCATGTCCGGTGACACATGGCATGAAGTGTTCGTTGCCTGCTGCCGTGTACCTCTCGGTTGTGCGTTTAGGTGCTTGCGTTGTCATGCCGTGGTTGGAGTGGTGCCCTGATCCTCAACAACCGGACGCTCAATGGGTCAAGGTCTTTCATCCAGGTACATGGACACTGCATGAGGAGCACGATAAAAAATTTCCAAGTCATACGTACAGGGAATGGACGATGTTCCATTGTCGAGTTCATTTTCAAGATGGCGTTCAATCCATTGTTGACGCATGGTACAAACGGGACTGGACCTGTCGCTGCTCCGGAGCCGGACAGGGGCCTCGCTTCGATTCCACACCCCAACCAGCACAGCGTGGCCACACAGTCGTCATTTTTGATTATTTCCCCGCTGGTGTTGGATGCGATCCTTCGTTTTTCGGATGCATCTACCTTCTCCACAGAGGGTTTTACGCGTCTACAGGCAGGAATTAGCCAACAACTTGCGGATCGCACTCGCCAAGCATCAATGTTTCTTCAGCCAGTCCGCATTTTTCAAGACGCCGATCATTTTCAGTTTGAATCTGTCGCACTCGCTGAGCCCTACCTGCCCACAGGCCGCTCTTGCACGCGCAGTTCGAACGTCAACGAGAAGTCCGTTCTTGAACTAGTTGCTGAGTAGACAGACGAGTTTGGGTCATGCTCCAAAAGGGTGCTTTCTTGATGTCTTGCTTGCTTGTGTGTTGTCCGTTGTGCAAGTTTGCTGTTTCCTTTGCGCTCGTAGCTGGATCGGATACCGTGGTGCAATCCTTCCTCCACCGCAACATGGAAATTGATGCTGCAGCCTAGACCCGGGACCGGCATGGCACTCAACAACCATGGCTGGAGTATTCGTACTGGCAAGGACAAGAATGGGTGAAGGTATACACTCCTGGTGAACCTCAGCTATGCCAGAATAGAATGATGACGTCCCTGCTCTACCGGATGGCGCGTTTCGTGTTTGGAAGCCGGTGGTCCCATTACGGGATGAAGCTCAAGGCAATGACGATTGGCAATGGCGTACTTTGTCTACCTTTCTGGAAACATTGACGTTTGTCTCAGCATGCTGGCGGTTTTTCTTCCCTGGCTTCGGTACCTCCCCTTCAACTTGACGTTGCAGATTCAACCAGACGGTCACCTCATGCGGTTTACACGGTGAGCAGTTTGCTGCGCCCGGATGGAACGGTGCAGATTACCAGTCAGGTAACCTTGGACCAGTTTCCCAACTTCATCAATGGCAATGAGGTGCAGCTGTTCGTTTAAACACATGGCGGAATGTGCAGAACCATAGCTCATGCAACACGACATACGCAATGCGGGACCGATCTGCAGATCATGAGGCAACCTTTTGGTTGACACTAGGCAGCTTCAGATTTGGTCTTCTGGATGCAACAGCCTGTTCGCCCCTCTTGGAGGGGCGTGTGTGTGCGGAGTGTCAGATTCACCCTGACACCACCTTTCTCGTCGTGACTATGTTTTTCAGCAGGGGAGTGCGGCATGACTGAGGGACCGCACTCAGCGAAGCTACCTCAGTCATGGGATACCGGATCTGATCAATCCGGCGTACCTGCGACATTTGGGGTGGTGTAAAGTCTTTTTGGCCGTTGTTTCTCTCGCTGTGTGTGCTTCATGTTGAATTTGTAACGTTTTCGCTGCTAGACGGAAGCCAAGTGACTGTGAGCCGAACCTACACCCACTCGAGACTCATCAGTTGTACTCGAGACTCATCAGTTGTACTCGAACGATTAGCATCCTCCCTTGGGAGTTGAAGTGTGTGTGTGTGTCTGTGTGTCTGTGTGTCTGTGTGTCTGTGTGTCTGTGTGTCTGTGTGTCTGTGTGGGTGCGCGTACGCGTGCGCGTGCGCGTGTGCGTGTGTGCGTGCGTGCGTGCGTGCGTGCATGCATGTGTAAGCGCGCGCGTGCGTGCGTGCGTGCGTGCGTGCGTGCGTGCCCGCGCGATGTTCAGCACAGGCCGACAAGAAGCGATGACATTGATCCACTGCTTCTTCGGGCCATGTGCAGTGTAAATGAGCAACGTGCTGTACACTGCAAATTCAAACTGCTTCGAATGTCTGATGCCGTGACCTCGTTTCCCTTTCTTAATTGCATGTTTCATGCTTCAAGATTGCTTATATTGACTGGTACAGTTCTTCGATATTCGAAGACGCTTTAGGAGCGAGCCTGGGGTCTTTCAACCTACGCGACATTGACTCGGCGAGTTATTGTGTGCCCCCTTGAACCGGTGTCCGCAAAACAGTCACCCTGTTGCTAATTTTGTGAACTGGGCAGGCCTCTCATGTTTTTGGGTTTTCAAGGGAAGCCGAAAGGAAATCGCCGCTGTTTGAAGGTCTCGATAGGACGCACCCGCATCAAGATGTGTGTCTTTCCTTTGAGTCTACTGCGAGGCTGCTTCTGATTAGTTGTTCGGCGGTTCCGCACAACCACCTTGCAAAAACAGACCTCGTGTTAGGTTAAATGGCAAGCAACCTGACAATACACAGGGGGACATTTTTTTTGCGGGACACATGCGCGCAGATTGCATTTAAGGCTCCAATGGCCCCAACACAGCAACTCCGGCCACGTTGCCTAGGTGTGTCCTTGCCTGTGGCCAGAAAGTTCGCGATGTCTTTGAGTTCATAGTTTCTGAGCCTCTTGGCGTGCAATCGGGCTGGTACGTCGTGAGGGTCCTCTCATGGCAACTAGACCCAGCGCTTTGACGGACCTGTAAACCATAGATGGGGATTTTGCTGGGCTACAAGACAACAGCCCTCGATTTAAGGCAAAACCGGAAACTTGTTCTTCAATCTGCCTCTTCAGTCCACCAAGCGGGGTAGCTCGTGTGTGGCAGCGAAGTGGTTCCTGCTTGCCTCTATGCCTGACTGGCTTGTGCCAGGGTGCCTTGCGAATCCTGCCACTTTCCACCCTCTGAGGCAGCCGGTTTGCCGGCGCAACCCCACGGACACCTGGCTGCAGTTTCACCATGTTGGGCAAAGCCGTGCACAATGGCTTTGCCCATCCAGACATAACACGGCCCTTAGCAAAATTCTCCAACGAGGTTGACTGACCCATGTGTCAGCCAGGGGGGCTAAACTGTTGTTGGCTTTTAACCCGGCGATTCTCAGGAGATGTTCCCCGCGGTGGAGCGCGCCCTGCGGCACTTCCAGTTCGAGGCTCTGGGGTTTCCGGCCCCGGGCTTGCCACGTTGCGATTTCTCCAGGGCGCCTATCTTCGAATGCAGTCCCGCATGCGGGTGCTGCTGACGCGGATCACCCGGACTCCGCCTTGTGTGCAAGGGGAGGCGCGGTGTTCGTCAGTGATAAAGTGCTACTTTGCGCGGTTCAAGCAACCAACAATTCGTTTGCTAATTTCCGTTTTTAGAACGTATTCATTTCGTAGTCTTTCCTTCTGCCACTTCCGGTTTGATGTCCTGACCAGGTCATAGACAAGTTCCCTGACAACGAGACCGCAATCCAAGTGCTTTGCGCCTCTTGCACCTCGGCAGGTGTTGATTCTGTAATTACGAGATTTTCCAGGGCCAAAGTCCAGGAAGCGTGATAAATTATGAAAGAGTTAAACTGAATAGTAATTTGCGCAAAGTATCTTCACACATTCAGAAGTGTACTTCATTTGGCTATGTAGTTTCACGGATTCTCCAAGATGTTGTGCTTTTACAAGGGCTTGCTGCATTTCAGCCTGTGCTTCTGCCAGCGACCAAACATGAGTCCTGGTGCCAGCTGCAAGGCCTCAAGTAGCGGGCACTGCATATAAGAGCCATGCCAATGGCAGAACAGGCAAAGGTTGCTCAAAGAACACGCAAATCAATGCACGTGACTGTCAGTGGTCTCGTCCGGAAAAAAAACACACACACACACACACCAAAAAAACAGAAAAAAAAAACAGAGATTCCCCAAATGCTCAGTGGTGTTCAGGACGCCACGAGTTGTTGTTCTTAAGGAATACGAGAATATCTGCCTTCAGAGTTCCCGTTGCCCAATTAGCGTAAACAGTATATATCCATACATATATATCGATATACATATTGCTATATAATATATATATATATATATATATATATTATATATATATATAGAGACATAAATTAAGATAATATTTACAGATATGGAGCCTGGGATTCTTTTTCCGCAACGTACTCCGAGGCCACGTGCCGCTCTTCGCAGGTCTGCTGCCGCGACGGATCTGCGGTGACCCGGCGTCGGTGCTTCGGTCCTTTCCAGTGTACTTGCTCCATCTGTTCCACTTGGTCCATTTTGTTCCATTTTGTTCCATTTCCCAGCTCAATTGCCCACTTTCTGATGACTTGCCTTTCTCGCTTCCGGGTTGAAGGATTCAGGATTCATCACTTTGCACCATTTTTGTGGATTATAGCGAGGACGGCTGTACTACGACGGGCTGGTGTGGCCAGATCGGCTGCTGGTTCCCTGGCGCGGAGCGCCAGGCCAGAAAACGGGGGAAAAAGACAAAGAAACAAGCATGGCCCTCCTCCCCGTGTGTGACTACATGATTAGGGGATCGATGCTCAGACCTTGATGTGCAAAAGAGAAGCGTTATGCCTTGAACTCTCCGGCAGGAGACGAGGTGGTTCGGATCTCTGCCTGTGCGCACCCCTTGGCAGACATCAAGTGCCTTGCGCGCAGTCCAGAACCTATCTTTTGTGGAGCCGAACAACCTGCCGATTTTGCAGGCAAACCTGAAGTCGGGTCACACAAGTCAAGCAAGCTGCGGCTTGCCTTGGTGAGTCTCCACGTGCTGAAACCCCCGAGGATAGAGCGAGTACCGTACTGGTGGGCAGTCCTTCCGCCGGACCCGAAGATTCTCAGAGGCCGGGGGCCGGCGTAGCCCCAAGAGGCCATCGGGCTTTTCCCCCAGCTTGGGGAGAGACTTTGATTTTGGTTCAGCAAGAAGTCGACGGTTTTGGGGGTGCATATACGTGAAAGGAACAGATTGCCTGCTGGCATTTCCTTCGTTTGGGAAGGACATATGGGCACCGGGATGAGGGGTAGGGGCAAATGGCACATGTGTGGAGTACCTAGAACCCTCCAAATCGATCAGATGTTGGTAGATATCACTTGGAGGGTTTGGGAAATCGAAGGTTGGAGTCTCAAGCTGTAGGCATCTTCTGGTGCGGCTACCGGGATGCGGCCCGCTGGTTCGCCGAGATGCCCCAGATCTCGGAAACCTGCTACCGGAAGGACCAGAGTCCGGAGGCGGAAGCCGCTCGCACGAGTTCTCGTTCCGGCGAAAAGTCAGACTGCCAGATCGGAATCTCTCTATTAGACTGTCTCAGTCTAAGGTGGGGGTTCAAGAACCCCTCGGCATGGGTTGTGAAGGGTGGATCCAAGAGTCGCAACGCCCTCAAGATTCCGAGAGCCCATTCGACGTACAATGTTTCGAATGTTTGAGAATTCCCTATGCTTCCTCGACTATTTTTTTAATTGGTGGTTGTTCACCCCCTATTTTTTGCATTGACAACCCCTATATTTGACATTTGCCTTTGGGTCCATTTCTGGTTGGGAGCCACGCATGTTTCTGCTAGCCAAGTAAATGATTATTTCTTGATAGGGTCCTCGGGTCCCGTTTGTGTCTGCACTATGCACCTGCTGAAAGTCTTGCGTCTACAGAGCCTTTAAGTCTAGCAAATTATAGAATTTGCCTCTGCAACTTGCGCAAGTGGCACGAACAACAAGACATTTTGTGCTTGGTTTTTTTCCGTTTCAAGTTTAACTCAGGTCCAAGGACGACGTGACCGTAGACAAACCGTAAACAAACCGTAGAAAAACCGTAGAAAGACCATTGTTTGGCGTAGAAACACTTTTTTTGGCGTAGAACCACCATTGTTTGGCATAGAACGGACAATTTGTGCAGGGGACCCAGAGGCATCGACATTGGTTGGTGTGATGGGTAGAGATGTTGGCCGTCCCGTTTTTTTGGTTAGGCTAACGGGGTGGGCCAGAAGAAGGACAGGGTTCACCTTCACGTGCTGCATGGCCATGTTGAAGAAACCCAGCAACATAGAAGCCAACATTAGCCTTGCAAATTGTGAAACATAGTGCTGCATATGCATATAATAGAATATACCTATTCGGCTTTGGGATCCTTTGGAGCGGCCTTAGCGTCAGGTCTTTCGCGTAGCCCTTGTTCCAGTCCAAAACGGAGGCTGACGCTAGCCGTCCAAAAGTAGTCTTTGTCGGGAAAAACGGGGTTGTCACAGCGCATGTCTTTCAAAATAGGCTTTGGACTTTGGAAGCATCAATTGTTGGAGCACATTCTTGCGCCAAGCGCCTTGTGCCTTGCGAGGGCAGCAGCGAGCGCCGCTGGCAAGCTGCTCGGGCGCGGCTGAAGCGTGCGGTGTCCTCGCTGCCGGAACGGGACCCCGTGACCGGCGAGAACGCCCCATGGCAAAATCAGGGCTTTTTGCCCGAATCCTGTGGCTGTTCCGGGCACTGTAGCAGACAGAGTTGTTGCCTGCCCGCAGAAAGTTGACTTTCTGTTCCCATGACTTGCCCAGTTTGGCGTCACTGGCTTGTTGCGCTCTTTGCTGGGTTGCTGGCCCGTCGGATTGCTTGCAGGTGACCCCAGGTCCCCTCTCAATCTAGGTAAGATGGTCAGACGATCCGGCAAGTATGGGGAGCTGAGAGGTGTGGTTCAAACGACGAAAGTGAAAAGGCCGAATGGTCAGCCACTGAGACAGCACCAAGCAACGGATTGTCCGGCTTGCACTGAGGACAACAACAACAATCAAACTTGTCGAAGCAAGAGGCGGAGTCTATCCTTGAGCTTTCTTCGCACCACAGTTTTAACAAACATTATAGCTCCTGACAGAGTGGACTGCTTGCCCAAACATGTCTGTCTCGCTTGGTTCATCCAATTCGACCAGTTTCGTCTTCTTTGTTGTTTGCTTGATTTGTGCTTTTCAACTTTTCCTTTTCTTGTTTGGAATGCTTCGCTCGTGTTGCCCGTTTGGCTCCTTTTGAAGTCGGGGTGAACTCGCCATGGACCCCGCGCCCGTGCCCTTCGAGCCGGGGCGGCTGAAGCGGCCCAGGGAGGAGGAGGCCGAGGCATCCGAGGCCGGGTTTCGGGTTTCGGGTTTTTTTCGAGTCAGTGTCCGACTGGAAGGGGTTGAGAGGATGCATCCTTTGGAAAGGGTTGGATGAAAGACGCCAGTGGTTTGTCAAGCTGACCCGGATCACCCGGATGGGGTTGATGCTGGTAAGCTCAGGCTCCCGACCCAAAGCGGCATGCAGAGCAACTGGACCCGGCTTTGTCCGCGGAGGCCTCTCCGCGTGAGCTGGCGGAGCCTGTGGAAGCCGAAGCTGATGGCGATGGCGATGGCGAAGCCTCAGGCAGCCCGAGTGCGGCAACTGCTCCGGTCCAATTGCTGGCAGATGTGTCGAGCGCGGCGCTGGACCCGGAACTGGCTCCAAGTCACTCACTGGAAGACTCCGGCGGTTCCGACCTGGAATACCTGCAGCTTGTCAAGTCCCAACTAGGAGAGACTTCGCTTTCCCTGGTCGGAGAGACAGAAGACCAGGCCATTGGGGCTTCGAGCCGACCCCTGACTGTCTTTTCAGCAGATGAAGTGCAAGAGGCAGAGGATCCCGAGGTACAAGCCGAACAGGCCGTACAAGAGGAACCAAAGGGTCGAGATGAAGCTCTGGCGAGCTCAACCCAACCCGTGCGCCCATCCAGCTCACGCGCGTGGCGGGACCGAGACAAAGCTTGGGATTCAGCAGAGGATTCCAGCGGTGAGGGCGAGAACGAGCCGTCACCCTCCTGGCAGGGCGAGGGTGGGACTTGGCGTGAGAACGAGGCGGCAGAGGCGGCAGAGGCGGAAGATGCCGATGCCGCCGATTCGAAGTTTGAGTGGTCCCGGTGGGACTGGCAGGACTGGCAGGACTGGCAGGGCTGGCAGGGCTGGCACTGGCAGGAGCAGGAGCAGGAGCAGGAGGGGAGTTGGTCGAGTCAGATACTTCAAGGCTTTGAATCAGGTACCTGGGTCAGCTACCTCGGATCAGGTACCGTATCGAGACCTGGCTGGCAGTCGTTTCACGAAAGGAAAGGCTCGGTGGTTTCAGGAGATGCCGGGTTGTTTCAGGAAAGCCCGGGTGGTTTCAGGAAAGGCTGTGTGTTGCATGAAAGACTGGGCGGTGTTTCAGGAAAGGTTTGGTGGTGTCAGGAAAGTCTGGGTGGTTCCAGGAAAGGCTACGTGGGGAAGGCTGTGTGGTTGCAGGAAAGGCTGGGCGGTTTCAGGAAAGCTTGGATGGTTTTCGGCTGGGTGCTGGTTTCAGGAAAGACTGGGCGGTTTCAGGAAAGGCACGAAAAGTGTGTGTGATGGAGGGAGTTGGTCGGGAGGTCCTGGGAGGGTTTAGTCAGATACCTGGGTCGGCTACCACGGGTCAGGTACCTAGTGTTGGTGGCACCTTGACCTGGCTGGCAGTCGTCACGAAAGTATGTATGGTTTCAGGAAAGGCTGGGTGGTTTCAGGAGGTGCCGGGTTGTTTCAGGAAAGCCTGGATGGTTTCAGGAAAGGCTATGTGTTTCATGAAAGACTGGGTGGTGGTTTCAGGAAAGGTGTGGTGGTGTCAGGAAAGTCTGGGGTGGCTCCAGGAAAGGCTGCGTGGTTTCCGGGAGTGTAGTTGCAGGAAAGACTGGGTGCTGGTTTCAGGGGAGGCTGTGCGATTTCAGGAACGGCTGGGTGGTTTCAAGGAAAGGCTGGGTGGTTTCAGGAGGTGCCGTGTGGTTTCAGGAAAGACCGTGTGGTTTCCGGCGAGGCTGTGTGGTTTCACGAAAGAGGATGGTTTAGGGTTGCTTTAGGTGGGGTTTAGGGTTTGTTTAGTGGTTTAGGGTTGTTTTGGGTTTGTTTAGGGTCGGTTTAGGGTCGGTTTAGGGTTGGTTTAGGGTTGGTTTAGGGTTGGTTTAGGGTTGGTTTAGGGTTGGTTTAGGGTCGGTTTTGGGTTGGTTTAGGCTTGGTTTAGGGTTGGTTTAGGGTTGGGAAAGGAGGTGCCGGGTGGTTTCAGGAAAGACTGGTTTCAGGAGAGGTTTGTTGGGTCAGGTAAGTCTGGGGTGTTTCCAGGAAAAGCTGCGTGGTTTCAGGAAAGGCTGCGTGGTTTCAGGAAAGGCTGCGTGGTTTCAGGAGGTGTCGTGTGGTTTCCGGCGAGGCTGTGGGGTTTCACGAAAGTGTGTGTCGCATATGATGTTGGAAGTCTGATGGTTAAGGGTTGATTTAGGTGAGGTTTAGGGTTTGTTTAAGGCTCCCTTAGGGTTGATTTAGGTCTGGTTTAGGTTTGGTCTAGGTTTGGTTTTAGGATGTTTTAGGTTTGGTTTACGTGGTTTTAGAGGTTGTTTTAGGGTTGGTGTAGGGTTGGTTTAGGGTTGGTTTAGGGTTGGTTTAGGGTCGGTTTAGGGTCCGTTTAGGGGAGGGTTGGTTTAGGGTTGGTTTAGGATTGGTTTAGGGTCGGTTTAGGGTCGGTTTAGGGTAGGTTTAGGGTTGGTTTAGGGTTGGTTTAGGATTGGTTTAGGGTTGGTTTAGGGTCGGTTTTGGGTTGGTTTAGGGTTGGTTTAGGGTTGGTTTTTGGGTTGGTTTAGGGTTGGTTTAGGGTTGGTTTAGGATTGGTTTAGGGTTGGTTTAGGGTCGGCTTAGGGTAGGTTTAGGCTTGGTTTAGGGTTGGTTTAGGGTTGGTTTAGGGTTGGTTTAGGGTCGTTTTAGGGTTGGTTTGGGGTTGGTTTAGGGTTGGTTTAGGGTTGGTTTAGGGTTGGTTTAGGGTTGGTTTTAGGGTTGGTTTAGGGTCGGTTTACGGTTGGTTTAGAGGTCTGTGGTTGCAGGAAACGCTGGGGAGGTTCATGAAAGAGTGATTGGTGGTTTCAGGAAAGACTGGACGGTTTCAGGAAAGGCTGTGTGGTTTCAGGAGGTGCCGGGTGGTTTCAGAAAAGGCTGAGCGAGGCTGTGTGGTTTCACGGAAGTGTGTGTGGATTCAGGAAAGGAGGTGCCGGGTGGCTTCAGGAAAGACTAGGTGGTTTCAGGAGAGGCGTGTGGCTTCAGGCTGGGTGGTTGTTTCAAGAAGTGGTTTCAGGAGAGGTTTGGCGGTGTCAGGAAAGTCTGGGGTGGTTCCAGGAAAAGCTGCGTGGTTTTCAGGAAAAGCTGCGTGGTTTCAGGAAAGGCTGCGTGGTTTCAGGAGGTGTCGCGTGGTTTCCGGCGAGGCTGTGGGGTTTCACGAAAGTGTGTGTCGCATATGATGTTGGAAGTCTGATGGTTAAGGGTTGATTTAGGTGAGGTTTAGGGTTTGTTTAAGGCTCCCTTAGGGTTGATTTAGGTCTGGTTTAGGTTTGGTCTAGGTTTGGTTTTAGGATGTTTTAGGATTGGTTTAGGTTTGGTTTAGGGTTGGTTTAGGGTTTGTTTAGGGTCGGTTTAGGGTTGGTTTAGAGGTCTGTGGTTGGAGGAAAGGCTGGGGCGGTTCATGAAAGAGTGAATGGTGGTTTCAGGAAAGACTGGACGGTTTCAGGAAAGGCTGTGTGGTTTCAGGAGGTGCCGGGTGGTTTCGGAAAAGGCTGAGCGAGGCTGTGTGGTTTCACGTGAATTTAGGAAAGGAGGTGCCGGGTGGTTTCAGGAAAGACTAGGTGGTTTCAGCAAGGCTGTGTGGCTTCAGGCTGGGTGGTTGTTTCAGGAAGTGGTTTCAGGAGAGGTTTGGTGGTTTCAGGAAATTCTGGGGTGGTTCCAGGAAAAGCTGCGTGGTCTCAGGAAAAGCTGCGTGGTTTCAGGAAAGGCTGCGTGGTTTCAGGAGGTGTCGCGTGGTTTCCGGCGAGGCTGTGGGGTTTCACGAAAGTGTGTGTCGCATATGATGTTGGAAGTCTGATGGTTAAGGGTTGATTTAGGTGTGGTTTTAGGTTTGGTTTAGGTTTGGTTTTAGGATGTTTTAGGTTTGGTTTAGGTTGTTTTAGAGGTTGTTGGTTTAGGGTTGGTTTACGTTCGGTTTAGGGTCGGTTTAGGGTTTAGGGTTGGTTTAGGGTTGGTTTAGGGTTGGTTTAGGGTTGGTTTGGGGTTGGTTTAGGGTCGGTTTAGGGTTGGGTTGGTTTAGGGTTGGTTTAGGGTTGGTTTAGGGTCGGTTTAGGGTCGGTTTAGAGGTCTGTGGTTGCAGGAAAGACTGGGGCGGTTCATGAAAGAGTGATTGGTCGTGGTTTCCGGCGAGGCTGTGGGGTTTCACGACAGTGTGTGTCGCATATGATGTTGGAAGTCTGATGGTTAAGGGTTGATTTAGGTGAGGTTTAGGGTTTGTTTAAGGCTCCCTTAGGGTTGATTTAGGTGTGGTTTTAGGTTTGGTTTAGGTTTGGTTTTAGGATGTTTTAGGTTTGGTTTAGGTTTGGTTTAGGTTTGGTTTAGGGTTGGTTTAGGGTTTGTTTAGGGTCGGTTTAGGGTTGGTTTAGAGGTCTGTGGTTGGAGGAAAGGCTGGGGCGGTTCATGAAAGAGTGATTGGTGGTTTCAGGAAAGACTGGACGGTTTCAGGAAAGGCTGTGTGGTTTCAGGAGGTGCTGGGTGGTTTCAGAAAAGGCTGAGCGAGGCTGTGTGGTTTCACGGAAGTGTGTATGAATTTAGGAAAGGAGGTGCCGGGTGGTTTCAGGAAAGACTAGGTGGTTTCAGCAGAGGCTGTGTGGCTTTAGGTTTGGTTTAGGTTTGGTTTAGGGTTGGTTTTAGGTTTGGTTTAGGTGGTTTTAGAGGTTGTTTTAGGGTCGGTTTAGGCTTGGTTTAGGGTTGGTTTAGGGTTGGTTTAGGGTCGGTTTAGGGTCCGTTTAGGGTGGTTTTAGTGTGGTTTTAGCGTTGTTTGAGGGTTGGTTTGGGTTGGTTTAGGGTCGGTTTAGGGTCGGTTTTGGGTTGGTTTAGGGTTGGTTTAGGGTTGGTTTAGGGTTGGTTTAGGGTTGGTTTAGGGTCGGTTGAGGTTCGGTTTAGGGTTGGATTAGGGTTGGTTTAGGGTTGGTTTAGGGTTGGTTTAGGGTTGGTTTAGGGTCGGTTTAGGGTTGGTTTAGGGTCGGTTTAGGGTTGGTTTAGGGTCGGTTTAGGGTTGGTTTAGGGTCGGTTTAGGGTTGGTTTAGAGGTCTGTGGCTGCAGGAAAGGCTGGGGCGGTTCATGAAAGAGTGATTGGTGGTTTCAGGAAAGACTGGACGGTTTCAGGACAGGCTGTGTGGTTTCAGGAGGTGCTGGGTGGTTTCAGGAAAGGCTGAGCGAGGCTGTGTGGTTTCACGGAAGTCTTCAGGCTGGGTGGTTGTTTCAGGAAGTGGTTTCAGGAGAGGTTTGGTGGTGTCAGGAAAGTCTGGGGTGGTTCCAGGAAAAGCTGCGTGGTTTCAGGAAAAGCTGCGTGGTTTCAGGAAAGGCTGCGTGGTTTCAGGAGGTGTCGCGTGGTTTCCGGCGAGGCTGTGGGGTTTCACGAAAGTGTGTGTCGCATAGGATGCTGGAAGTCTGATGGTTCAGGGTTGATTTAGGTGAGGTTTAGGGTTTGTTTAAGCCTCCCTTAGGGTTGATTTAGGTGTGGTTTTAGGTTTGGTTTAGGTTTGGTTTTAGGATGTTTTAGGTTTGGTTTAGGTTTGGTTTAGGGTTGGTTTTAGGTTTGGTTTTGGTCAGGTTTAGGGCCAGCTTCGGGGGTTCATTCGGGGTTCATTTGGGGTTAGGTTTGGGGGCGGGGGGTTCATGAAAGATTGGTTGGTGGTTTCAGGAGAGGCTTTGAGGTTTCAGGAGGTGCCGGGTGGTTTCAGGAAGACTGTGTGGTTTCCGGCGAGGCTGTTTGGTTTCAGGAGGCGGGGTTTCAGGAAAGGCTGTGTGGCTGTGTGGTTGCAGGCTGGGTGGCGGTTTCAGGAAAGGCTGGGTGGTTTTAGGAAGGGTTGTGTGGTATCAGGAAAGGCTGGGGTGTTTCATGAAAAACTGGCCGGTGGTTTCAGGAAACGTTTGGCGGTGTCAGGAAATGGTTGCGGGAAAGACTGGGTGGTATCACGAATTCGGCAACAACCCTTTCAGAGGTAGCCTTTCACGAAATTTATCGCTAAGAAGCAAAATTAGTTTCCTGAAGCCAGCATGCTTCTGGAAAACAACTATTAAGCTTCCTGAACACATGTTTCCGGAAACTTGCGGGTCTTCATTTCGACCTTCTCGGGGTTGCTGACCCGTCGTCGGCTCGGGGTACCCGACCCGACCGGCACCCGGAGCAGGAGTGGCAAGAGCAGGAGCGCGAGGATTTGGAGGACTTCCGGGACGAGCCGCGCCCAGAGAACGCCTCACCCTCCGACTTTGACTCCGAGTCCTCCGAAATTGAGGGGGTGCCGAAGGGGCTGCAGAGCATGTCCAGAGAACTGCGCGAGATGGGCAGGGCGGTGGGCCTCAGTAATCTTTGCAACCTCCACTTGGTGGATCTGGCGGAGTGGCCCAGTTTCTTCGCGGACATGGAGGATGATGTGGAGCAGGAGTGTGGAAGATTCGGGGAGGTCCTCCATGTCGGCGCTGACACGAGTGCCAAGCACGGCACTGTTTGGGTGCATTTCGCCGTAGAGTCCGACGCGAAGATGTGCAAGCAGACCATGAACGGCCGCATCTTCGCCGGCCGTCGCGTCCGGGCGCGCCTGTGGCCATGAGAGCCCATCCTAGAGGGTGCAAGAACGAGAGCGACACCCGGCAGAAGGACTGCTGGATCTGGAGCAGCAACCTGACGCCGAGACCGGCTCGGAGCCCATGACGGAGAGGAGGCGCGGGCCAAGGATGGCGCACGCTGGACACCTGACAGCGGTCTGGCAGGAGAAAAAGGCGCCTAACGCGAGCTGCCGATTTGCAACCTTAGTCAGTGTGCGGCTGCTCGCCTAGGTCAAGCAGCTCATTGAGGAGGCCGAGTTGCAGGCGATGCAGGCGCACGGATCTTTTGGCACTTCATGCGATCCAGCTACCAGAGAGTGGGACTGTATCCTGCAATATCCTGCAAAAGGTTGTTGCCAGCTGTTTTTCCGTTCAATTTTCTGCCCCGCAATTGGTTTGATCTCGTACATATCGCGTATTTCCGTATATCTCCGGTAGCCTCCGGTAGCCTCCGGTAGCCTCCGGTTGCTTCCATGTCGTTTTTTTCCCCGCTTTCGCCGAGGCGACGCAGGCGGTGTCGCGGCTGCTCTCAGCGGCCGCGGTCGTGGCCCTGGCGGCGCTGGCGGCGCTGGCCCGGCCCGCCTTCGGCTGAGCCCCTCGCGAGCCTGGACCTCCAACCAAAACAAACCGAAGCAAACCAAAACAAACCGAAGCAAACCGAAGCAAACCGAAGCAACGAACCGATGCACTCGGAGCTTTCCAGAAAATCACAGATTTGTTTTTGTTTGTCTCCGGCTTTTCGCCTTAAGCTGTTCGGGGGTCCAATGCCAATGTTCAGGCTGGCAGGTTTCTGCCAAGCAGAGTCCGGTGCCAGCTCGAGCTCAAAAGGAATGCGCCGACCGCATCGCTCGAGTGATTCGAAGTCCGGGTCGACCGACCGCCCTGGCCAGAGCCGCTTTGTGGTGCGCAGCTGCTTTGCCGGGGACCGCGAGGAGGGGAGGGGAGGCCATTCACAGGCAAAGGTCTCCCCATGATGGGCCGGCGTTGCGGGTCCATGCGAGCGTTCATGTAGGTTAGCCATTTACCGATTTCAGGAGATGGTGGTGAGTGGCTCGGAGGACGCGCAGGCGCCTCTCCGATTGAAGCTTTGGTGAAGCTTTTGGGGCGGCGAGGTCTACATCTGGCACCGGCACTATGGCTCCCTCTTGCAGGTCCGACGCGTGTCGTGTCCTATGGGTTGGCGAAATAGATCCAAACAGCGTCCAAATCGCAATGGTTCCCAATCTCGGGAGATTCAGTTCCAATTGGTTGAGGTAGGAGGCCCGTGCTGTTGGAGCGTGTTTGAGAGAGATCATCCTGTCTCGCGACAAGATATCCGATGAGCTTCCAGGATGCCGCCATTGCATTGCTGTACTCAAGTATGCAAGGTGCTGGCTGGCCACTCTGCGACAGTGAACACCGTGTGCCCGGCATCCCAATGCTCTTGTGGGCCGCAAAGCGAGACGTTAGCCGGCTCTGTGCGAGGCTGGATGCGAGGCTCTTCAGGGGTGTCTTGGATCAATTCTGTGGGGCCCAGAGAGCCCGAGAGCTGACGAGACTTTCCGGCCGCGGTGATTTGCTCAGGTCGGCGCGTGGCTGATCTCAGCCTCCGACGATGGCACACTACGAGCATGGGGCCTCGGGTCTCGAGTCGCACGTTGCGCCCCGAGCGCCGCGGCCCGCGCAGCGCTTTGCGGAAAGGTCTGGGGATCGGAGGCGGAAGAGCCGGAGGCTGTGGAAGTCGAGGCGATGAGTTCGAAGTTTTGCAGAGCTGGGGCTGTGCTGTCGCCAGGCTCCCACTCCCACAAGTGGTCTCCAGGAGCAGAGGCACAGCACTCAATGCATGGGCATGAGAGGTGTAACGGGAACATTGAGAGGGAGTTTGATCAGAGACTGGAACAAATTTGCCGCAGGAGGGAGGAGCCCCCACCGTCTCCAAGAGGCGCTTCCGATGGTCGAGGGTCACGCGGAGGGCCAGCTCCCAGGTGCAGCGATCACGCGGCCCACTCTTTTGGAGGATGCCAGGGGCTTAGGCGAGGCCCAGACTGGGTCCATCTCCCCCAACGAGGCTTGAACTCCAAATAGCATGCAGCGTTTTTGGCGTGTTCTTTTGGACATGAACGCTTGAATTGCGGAACACCTCCGACTTCCATAGAAGGGTCATGCTGTGGCACTCTGGCTTTTTTTGGCAGGACAGCGAAACATCCGACGAGGAGCCTGAGTCCGACAGGCGCATCCCTGAAACCTAACCCATGAAAACCCATGGGTGTTTTTTTCTTCCACGGTTTGGATGGTTCGGATGGCGAGACTTGGCTTTGGCAGCTCTGATTCAGGCAGAGCCACTCGTCCCGGCCGCGCACCCAGCTAACCATCCGAGTCGCTTGGGAGGGAGCAGCCGCCAGGTCGCAGTGACGCAGCAAAGACTGCGGGACAGTGAGCGAGCCGCTCGAGTGCCCAGCTGAGACCTCAGGCCGCTCTCTCTCTGCAACGCGCAGCTGAAGCGCAACAGCTGAACACAGTCGACGCCATGCGGACCCTGATGGGACTTGGTCAGAATGATAAGACTTGCGTCGCAGCCATTTGGGTTTATCACCATCCTTGAAGCCAGAAGTGTGGAGAGGTGCGGTGATCATGGCATTCAGGCAGTTCGCAATGCTGCTGTCCTTGCCTTTGGCTGTTTTTGCCGGAGCCGAGGATGAGACCTGCGATGATCTGTCAGAGCATGGGCTCTTGAAGCTACATGAGCTGCTGGACGGCGAGGGCTGCAATGCTGAGCGTGCCGTGGTGGCCATCCGAGAATTGTGGAACGCATCCACGTCGATGCATGAGACTCTTGGTGTTTACGTCGTTTTTCTTTTTTTTCTTTCTTGCCATCTGATCTCACCAATCCGGCAAGTCTCATTGAGTCACAGCATATTCCAAGGACTATCACACCCATAGCATCACACTTCATCCTCCGCTTTTCTACTTCTCACCACAGCCAAGGACTTATGATCATTTGGCCCAGGTGGAGCTTGGTGCGCTTGGTGACTCCAAGTGGGCTGAGAGCTGCACCGCGTGCGTGAAAATGGACTCCTGTCATTTGCCTTCCGAGACGTTGCACTGTCATACCAACCCAGACCGTCACTTCTTGGCCGACAACGGCGCCGACGGCGACGTGATCTCCGCGAAGAACCATCGACCAAAGCCTTACCTTTTCTGACTGCCAGGGAGCAAGGGGCTTTGACTTGCAGAGAGGAAAGCACATTTAACCGCATTTCCCACCAGCAAGAAGTTGTCGCTTCTTGCCGGGCCCCGGCTTCTTGAGGAACTTCTGGGATGATGTGAAGTGCAACTCCTGTAAGTTCAGCCTGATGGGCATGGGCGGGGCGATCCAACTGGCCATGGACGCCACTCCAGAGAGGTGATTGCGGAGGTCGGCGTCTTTGGCGCAATGGGCCAGGGTTTGAAGCTGCTGGCGGAGAAGGAGGGCAAGAGCTTGGAAACGAAGGCCATGGAGCAAGGCGCCATGAGGAGTGCCATTATTGGCTTGGCGGAGACTTTGGCCGACATCACGCAGGGCATGAGGCTCCTGAATGGCTTGGCCCAAGATGATGTGCTGCACCAAGAGCATCAAGGATTCCTGCAACAAGAAGAACGAGAAGTACAAACAACCTCGGCCACCTCCTCCCACCACCACCACCACAACCACTGTGACACGAATCGTCACGCTCTACAAGGAAGCCAAGCAGAGAGGGAGAGAACGCACGGAGGCCATGACTGTAGAAGAGAGGGAGCGGTTGACGGATGCAGAGCTGTGGGCTGAGGCGGTGGAGCAGCTTGGCGGGAAGAAAGCCAGCGCTGTCACGCCCATGGCGCCTGGGCGTTCCGGTTCGTCCTGCGCAACCAACCAGGCAAAGCCTGAAGCTCATGGTCAGGCAGAGATTGAGGAGCAAGAGCCCTTCCTCAGGCCCTGGAAGGAGTGCCAGTGCCGATGGTTTTGCCTCGTGTGGAAGGACTTCCCTACAGGGGAGAGGGTGACGTTGCCAGACCAGAGGCTTACCTTTTTTTGGGTTTTCATCATACTTCCCTTGGACCTGCAAAGGGTTCACTTTTTGCAATCTGTCTGCTCAAGGTGGACAATGTGAATTGTCACAGGGAAGCCCTTCAGATGATGAAGGATACTGAGAAGCCTGTGTGTCCAGGCCGGGCTTGTGAAAGCTTTAGATTCGGCTCACCCAACCGGGGAATCTACAAAATTGCATCGTATTGCCAAATTGGCAACCCGTTTCACTTTTGTAGGTGACTCTCTTGTTCTAGTAGGATGCGTGCTTCTTGGGATCAGGGGTTCCCATTAGGTGGTTTCCATATTTTGCTCAAAAGGGGGTTCCCCGCAAAAAACGACCAGCAATCCTCGTTGGTTTAGGCGGCTGGTGGCGATTGCTTGAGCCGGTGGAGCACTGCGCCGCCAAAGCGCCGATCTACAGCCGCAGGAACCAGCTGACGGAAGCATATCCGAAGATCGTGGTAGCAGAGTTGGGCGTCAAGGTCTGCCCAGAGTGAAAACAAGTTTGCTCACAAGATTTGCACGACTGAATTGGAAGCCCCAGGCTCAGTTTTCACCGCTAACCTTTGAGGCGGTCATCAGCTTCGGGGGCCAGACGGGCAAGTTCTTGAAGTATCGGGTCCCTGCCGATGTCGATTTCAATGAGATCGGCTTCGGCCGCGCCAAGTTCGTGAAGGAGAATCTGCCAGGTGAGCTCAACATTCCAGGAGGCCGGCAGAATGAAGGGAGGAAAACCTAATTTGTCCCGGACACCCAGCGGAGTGGGGCATTTCGTTTGTGCCTTTGTTTTGGAGCTTTCCTTTACCAGTCAACGACCAAAAAACGGGCCGGCCTTTGTTTCCCATGGAACTCCTCTGGTGATATGGAAAATGGTTTGGACACAGGCGAACACTTGGTCTATATCGATAAGATGGAGCTGGCAAACTTGGATGGCGGCTACGAGAGTGCGAAGGGAGTTCGGAACTGCTATTGGGCCTCCTACTAGCTTCAAGTGGGTTTTGTGCGCGAGCTGTGCCGGACTGAGGACCTTTTTTTGACCAGAATGAGGCCCTTTGGATCTCCTTCGGTTCCCCTCCAACCAGCAAAAAGGTGACTTTGGTGCTTGATCTTCTCTGTGAGGTCCTGATTCTGCAACACCTTCGGATTCCTGTCTACATTTGTTGACTCCCAAGGTCCGCGATGAAGCAATCAGATCTTATGTTTTTTTCTGGTGGATCAGGCATGGTTAGACTCCAGGTGGTGCGCGCAAGAGTTTTTCTGGGCCATTGGCGAGGACGAATCTTGGCCATATGTTTGGCCGTTTTTTTTTTCCCCAGATAGCTGAAAGCTATAGGGGTTCTAACTTCTAATAAAGAAGGGAAAGTGATTTGCGAGATTGAGGGCCGGGTGCTGGGGGGCATGCAGTTTGGGGTGCTGGTGGAGGTGCTGCTTTGCGATCTTGACGGCCGGGTGCTAGGGGGCATGCAGTTTGCAGTGCTGGTGGAGGTGCTGTTTTGCGAGATTGACGGACGGGTGCTAGGGGGCATGCTGTGTTGCAAGATTGACGGCCAAGTGCTAGGGGTCATGTAGTTTGGGGTGCTGGTGGAGGTGCGAGATTGACGGCCGGGTGCTAGAGGGCATGCAGTTTCGGGTGCTGGTGGAGGTGCCGCTTTGCAAGATTGACGGCCGGGTGCTAGGGGGCATGAAGTTTGGAGTGCTGGTGGAGGTGCTGTTTTGCGAGATTGACGGCGGGTTTCTAGGGGGCATGCAGTTTCAGGCGCTGGTGGAGGTGCCGCTTTGCGAGATAGGGGGCATGTATTTTGGAGTGTTGGTGGAGGTCCTGTTTTGCGAGATTGACGGCCGGGCGCTAGGAGTCATGCAGTTTCGCATGCTGGTGGAGGTGCCGCTTTGTGAGAGGATGGGGGGCATGCAGTTTGGAGTGCTTGCTGTTTTGCGAGATTGACGGCCCCGTGCGAGGGGGCATGCCGTTTCGGGTGCTGGTGGAGGCGCCGCTTTGCGAGATAGGGGGCATGTAGTTTGGAGTGTTGGTGGAGGTGCGAGATTGACGGCCGGGTGCTAGAGGGCGTGCAGTTTCGGGTGCTGGTGGAGGTCCCGCTTTGCGAAACTGACGGCCGAGTGCTAGGGGGCATGCAGTTTGCGGTGCTGATTAAGGTGCTGGTGGCTGTGCTGTTTAAGGCGCTGATGGAGAGCGGGGGGGGCACTCAGTTTGGGGTGCTGTTTGAGGTGCTGGTGATGGTGCAGGCGCATTCTTGCAAGATTGATGGCCGCACGCAGTTTGGGGAGCTGATGCAGCTGTTTTGGGGGACTGTTTGGGGTGCTGCTTGAGGTGCTGCTGACGTTGTGGGCGCAATTTTCGGAGATTGCCGGCGGGTGCTAGGGGGCATGCAGTTTGGGGTGCTGGCGCAGGTGCGGTTTTGGGTGCTGTTTGGTTCAGGTGCTGGTCACAATACGTGAGCACAATGTGCTCGGGGACGTGTCCGGGCTGGCGCGGGTGCTGCGTTGGGGTGCTCTTGGGGCCGCTGTTTTCGGGTGTTGGTGCTGGTGCGGGCACATATGGATGGCAGGGTGCTAGGGCGGGTGCTGTTTGGGGTATCGTGGTTGTCGCATCATCATGATGCTGGCCGCAGCATCATGATGCTGTCAGCAGCACCATGATGCTGTTGAACCGATTCGGACGTTGTTGCTGCTCTAACTGTCGCGCGTAATGGTTCGTGGCTGGTGTATCATCATGATGTTGTCAACCACGTTATGATGCTGCTGCACTCGCTGCGATGTCGCGTTATGGTTTGTGTGTCTGGTGGCGGGCATAGTGCTGTCAACATCAGCATGATGCTGAATTTCATTACGCTGTCGCAAGATGATTCGTGGCTGTGGTATGATCAAGATGCTGCTTTGCCATCACCATGATGCCGTGAGCATCATCATGATGCTGCCCGCGTCATCATGATGCTGCCCGCATCATCATGATGCTGTCGAACTCATCAGGACGTTGTCTCTGCCTTTTTTGGTCTAGATATGTAGCGCGGAATCGTTTGTGGCTGGTGTATCAGCGTTATCCTGTCAACATCATTGTTTTGCTGATGGACTCACTAGGACGTTGTCTGCGCGTCTATTTAGCGCACTATGCTGCGCAGCTGTGGTATTTTCATGATGCTGTCAACATCATCAAGATGCTGTCAACAGCATCATCATGCCGCGGGAACCATTAAGATGCTGTGTCATGGTTCGTAGCCGTGGTGTCCTATCTGGGGTCTATGCTGGTGTAATTTTTTTTGGGGGGGGGGGGTTGTTTGGTTGGGTGTTTTGGAAATCTGGATGAATTGAAAATCATTCCCCAGGTGTAGCCGACGTGTCTCACCAAGGACCCGCCAAAGCATGCAGGCGGGTTCCTGCGCAAGCCGTTGGAACCGAAGGCGTACGAGGAGAGCCCCAACAACGACCAGCGGATGCATCTCTTCGCCGCCATTGACGTGGATCCCTTCGAGGAGCAGTCCCGGTCAATCAAAGAAATCAAAAGCAATGAGGCTAAGAAAGTAATGTATGGACTACATCTCTGCACTTCTGGGTGATCCAATAAACAGCAGCTTACTTATTTCCCAGAGCTGAAAGCTCGAGGGGTTCGAACTTCAAGTAAAGAAGGGGTGGGTGAGACTCAGAATTCCGGCCAGGTGTTGTTGCAGGGTGCTGTTGCAAGGTGCTGTTGCAAGGTGCTGTTGCAAGGTGCTGTTGCAGGGTGCTGTTGCAGGGTGCTGTTGCAAGGTGCTGTTGCAAAGTGCTGTTTTCTGGGGTAGCATTTGCAAGTGCTATTTTACAGATAGCATTTGCAAGTGCTGTTACAAAATTATGACCCGCAGATGCTGGCGCAAGATGCTGTTACAAGACACTTATTTACGGAATTAGCATTGCAAGTGCTGTTTGCAGGAATTAGCGTTTTTGCAAGATAACATTTACAGATGCGGCCTGAATTACTTGGCCTAGAATACTTATTTACAAAGATACTATTCTAAGATGTCTGTTACAAGTGCTGTTACAGAATTATATTTACAAAGATGCTGTTACCAGTGTTGTTACAAATTACTGCAATCCTTCACTACAAAAAGATGTATTTACAACAGGAAACTTGTTTGGTGACAGCCATACAATTAACATTTACAGAATACTTATTTACAGATGCACATTTACAAGATATTTACAGGATTAACCTGTTTACGGGAATTACTTATTTGCAAGGTATGTTTACAAGATGCTTGTTTGCAAATTAAGCATTTACAAAAGATGCTGTTACAGGATGCTACGCAGAATGCTGTAAAATTAGCATTACAGATAACATTTACAAGATGCTGTACAAGTGCCATACAGGAATTACTTATTTACAAGATGCTTGTTACAAGATTAGCATTACAAGATAACATTTACAAGATATGTTACAAGATGCTGTTACAAGTGCTATGACTACAGAATTACTTGTACAAAGTGCTGTTACAAGGTGTACAAGTGCTGTTACAAGATACTGTTACAAAGATGCGTACAAGGTATTTACAAGTGCTGTATTTACAAATTAACATTTACAGATTAACATTTACAAGATATATTTACAAAATTAGCATTTACAAGATGCTGTTACAAAGATACTTATTACAATTATTTACAAGTGCTGTACAGAATGCTGTTACAAAGATGCTGTTACAAGATGCGTACAAGATTAACGTACAAAGACGCATTTGCAAATTAACATTACAAGATATATTTTAAGATGCTGTTACAAGATGCTGTTACAATTAGTACAAAGATGCATTTACAAGGTATATTTACAAGATGCCATTACAAAGATGCTGTTTATAAAGTGCTGTTACAGAGATGCTGTTACAAAGATTAACATTTACAAGATGCTGTTACAAGATGTTGCAAGTTAGCATTACGAATTAGCGTACAAGATTAGCATTTACAGATTAACATTTAGAAAGATGTTTACAAGATGCATCTGGTTGCGATAACACAGATATATTTTATAAGATTAACATTTATAGAGATTAACATTTTTCTAAGTGTTGTTACGAATTAGCATTGCAAGATTAACGTACAAATTATTGCAATTAACATTTACAAGATTAACATTGCAAGTTAACGGCCTGGATGTTGTTGCAGGATTAGCATTGCAAGATTGTTGCAAGTGCTGACTAGCAAGGTGTTGTTGCAGGTGCGGAGGGTAGGTGCGTACAAAATTAACATTTAAAGATGCGTACAAGATCTTGTTACAGTGCGTTACAAAGATGCATTTACAAAGTGTTGTTACAAAGTGCCATAGCAAGATACTTATTTACAAAGATATATTTCGTCGCAGCCTAAAATTATTTACAAATGCTGTTTACAAGATGCTATTTTACAAGATGCTGTTTAGTGCGTACAAAGATGCTGTTACAAAATTATTTATTAGAGATGCTGTTACAAGATGCTGTTACAAAGATACGTACAAGATGCTGTTACAGATAGCATTTACAAGATGCTGTTACAAGATGTTGTTACAAAGATGCTATTTACAAGGTATTACAGAATTAACATTTACAAAGATGCATTACAAGATGCTATTTGCAAGTGCATTATAAGATGTCATTGCAAGATACTTGTTACAAATTGTATTACAAGATGCTGTTACAAAATGTTACATTACAAGTGCTGTTACAAGATGCTTATACAAGATTAACTTATTTACAAGATGCTGTTACAAGGTGTTACATTTACAGAATGCGTTGCAAGATGCGTACAAGTGCTATTTACAAGGTAACATTACTAGATACTTATTTACAAGATGCTGTTGCACAAAGATGCATTATAGATAGCATTACAAGATGTTTTAAGTGCTGTTGCAAGGTGTTGTTGCAGGGTGCTGTTGCAAGGTGCTGTTGCAAGGTGTGTTGCAAGGTGCTGTTGCATTTGCGTGGTGTTTGTTACAAGTGTTGTTGCAAGGTTGCAAAGGCAAAGGTGCTG